ACTTCTGCTTATATTGCTCTGATTCTTTGATTGGGAGGCAAAAGCAGGTTCTGGACGATACAGGTGATCAGAGATGCTGGTGAAGACACAAAGATGGTGTCACTGGACACTCATCTCTTCTAGGGAAATTGGCACAAGAAACATTTCCTGTGCATGGAAGTAGAATTATATTTTTCAATCAGTCATAAAACCTGTGATATAAAGTTAGGTTAATAAAATGAAGGACAGATCAGAAGTTGAAGGATAAATCAATAACTCTAACATATCTATTGCACTGCTGTCTGTATAATAAGAAAGGGTTATATTGGATTTTCAAAGGTAACTGAGATTTTTGCTCTCTGCAGCCAAGGCTAACATTCCTTATGGTAAGGCTTTTGGCCAGGATTGGATACAGAACTCTCAGTCCCAGAAAGGAGACCTCCACCACTTGAGCTTAAGGACTAACTTCTTCTTTTATCAATGATAATGACAGCAGAACCAATACAAGCTCTATCAGAAATTCAGTGCTGATTTTGGCCTGGGCAATTGAAGCTGACACTGCATCCAGTTGTTCTCCCCTCAGCAAACCTTCCTACTCCGCTGCAACTGGAGGACAGGGTATACATCCTTAGTTCAATGACCAGAGCTTACAGCCTAGTAGTATAGAATGGACTTCTTTAGTTATTTCAGCTAAGGTACCAGCCTGAAGTGGGACACCTGAGGCTCCGAGTGCGTGTATTCTTCTACTCTTGCCTCAAGAGCAGGCAGAAAGGGACCGGGGAGTGTGGACTGACAGGAAGCTGAACATGAGCCAGCAGTGTGCCCAGGCGGTCAAGAAGGCCAATGGCATCCTGGCCTGTATTAGGAACAGTGTGGCAAACAGGTCCAGGGCAGTGATTCTTCCCCTGTACTCAGAGCTAGTGAGGCCACACCTGGAGTCCTGTGTCCAGTTCTGGGCCCCTCAGTTCAGGAAGGATATTGAGGTGCTGGAGCAGGTCCAGAGAAGAGCAACAAGGCTGGTGAAGGGACTCAAGCACAAGTCCTATGAGGAGAGGCTGAGGGAGCTGGGTTTGTTTAGCCTGGAGAAGAGAAGGCTCAGAGGAGACCTCATCACTCTCTACAACTACCTGAAAGGAGGTTGTAGACAGGTGGGGGTTGGTCTCTCCTCCCAGGCAGCTATCAGAAAGACAAGAGGGCATGGTCTTAAGCTGTGCCAGGGGAGGTTTAGGTTAGATATTAGCAAGAAATGCTTTACTGAGAGGGTAATCAGGCATTGGAACAGGCTGCCCAGGGAAGTGGTGGATTCTCCATCCCTGGAGGTTTTTAAGATGAGACTGGATGTGGCACTTAGTGCCATGGTCTAGTAACCACAGCAGTAGTGGATCAACAGTTGGACTTGATGATCTCTTCAAATCCGGCTGATTCTATGATTCCATGATTCTAAGAAGAAGAGTCTGCAGCCAAGGGGCAAAAAAGGTGACAGCTACAGGTAATAGCTTATCTCCATCATGGCTTACTTTAGCAGGAGATGTGACAGGCCCTGCTCTTATGTTACTTCTTGCTCCCTTTGATTCCCCAGTGAGTCCCCAGGGGTCATGGAATTAAGTGGAGTAGCCAAAATTGCTTTCACCTTAAACCAAATTTTACAAAAGGTGAGAGGACATAGCAGTTGAGCAAAGGATGGCTGAAAGCTCCCAGCTTGGTACAGTCAGTCTCACAATACATTTGAGCAGCCATCTGCAATATGGGATAGATATTGTTGTGCATCAAGTACAACATGAAATATTAATGCACCTGGAAAGAGCAGGCAATGACTTACAGGGAATGTAGCAAACAGTGCTGGTCATTTCTGCCCCAGAAAGAGGATCTCAACCTGTAAAAGGCACAAAGAGCAGCTACTGCAGGGTGAGGAACTGTGGAAAGTCTTCATAGGAGAAGACCCTAAAACTGCTTGCCTTGCTTACCCTAGAAGAATGAATGCTGAGAACAGGTGTCTGCTTCATATAAATGCATGTTTGTAAACATCAAGGAGGCAGAAGGGCAGTTTAGGTGAAAGAAAAAGTACAAACTGATCACAAAGAAATGTAGCCTGAAAATTAAAAGATTGTTGCAAACTGCAAACCCATAGACATCAGCAGTGTGTTCAGCTTCTCTAGCCGCTTGTGCTACAGATACCAGTGTGCAATTGGGCACTGGGGGCAGTTCTGGGGTCCAGAATCAACATGGTTATCTTTAGGTTTCTGGGAAGACTCTAAAGCTTATAAGGAGTGTGAGCAATGCCATATCACCGGGGGATACCTGTTCTTATAAGGTCCTTTTAAAGTCTCTTTCACAGCCCTGCTTTTTGGCGAACACTCTGTGCCAAACTTACAGTAACCCAGCAGATGCCTCATAACATTTTCCAGTGCACTGAGAAGTTTCATGGCCAGTCTTCACGAACGAAGATTAGGGAAAGGTCTTTACCCACATTCGTTACAAGCGCGCTGGTGATACAGGGCTTTGCAAATGCGGGTAAGGCCTTCGAGCCTGTGCAGTGGATTTTTTAGGTGAGACACAGTGTGCGCTGAACTGAGCCCACCCTTTAATCCTGAGGTTCATCTGCCAGGGCCGAGCAAGCTTGGATGGTGGCAGCGAGGTCCTCAGGATGTAGGTTTGTTTAGAGTGACCTTCTCTTAGATGGATGGCCTTACAGGGCTGACGAGCTCCATCTGCCCGGGACTGAGAAGTTTAAGACTATGGTTAAGAACTAAGCAGTGGGGTGACAAATTTGACTCTGACATTACTGCAGAATTAGGGTCTCCAAATTGGTATCAGCATAATCATCCCAGATTACCATCAGTGGAAAATAAACAAAATTCTGCAGGTGTACAGCTGCAATTCTTTCACTTACCGTCAGGCAAGAAATACATGCAAGCATCAACTAACAAGTACATCATATGCCAAATTATGTTCTCTGTAGCACTTCAGTGACTTCAGTGGACCACAAAGCAGGGTACCTCAAAATAATGTTTTTTCCTGAGTTTGATCTTGAATAAGAAGTTATTTATAGCTATCAAAAGGGATATCCCTCAGCTTTAGAAATTCCTGACCAACAGCACTTTGGTAAAGCCTGCTTGTCTTATAGCCATTCCCTTATGAAGGTTTTAATTCTAGTTAAGTTATCCCATGTATCTATAGGTAGGAGTTTACTTAGAATCTACAGCACTCACCTTCATTTTAATGGCCTACTTTTCAAATGCAAAACTAAAAATTAAAAAGAGCTAAATTTTCCAGTAATAGGCTTAGTTTTCCCAAATGGTATTATGATAGGTAGAATTTTGTAATGGAGTTAACAATACCTTATTGAGCACAGACATTGAAACTTACATTTTCATTTATAGAAAGATTTGCTGAAGAACCCTAATTTAAGGAGGGAGCTTGCTGTACAGAACTTGTAAGTAACTAAGGTACAGTAAGCCGATGAAATCATGCTCCAGAACTGGCCAAATTAAGTACTGAAGCTGGTATACTGATAAACCATAATATTAATACATTGGGATGATCCATTAATATACTCCACAACCTAAGCAAAAGTCTTCAAAGTTCTATATAGTTCACTGATGTAAATAAAGTGGCTATTTGTAAAGATAACAAAATATGGCAGAATTACACCTCTTATTTAACAGTATTGTGTTTTGCAATATTGTTCTCCAAGAAATTCTGTTTTGTTAATTTTGAACCGGTCTCAGAGCCAGAAGGTCCAAGTTGTGCTGCTTTCCTTGACAGGAAAACTGTCATTTCACTTCTTATGAATACTCTTTGCAAGTGGCCATCTTTCCTCCGCCTTCAAAGAAAGTCTGCCAGCCTTATTCCATGAATATACTCGCCTTGATGTCTGCATATATAATTGTTGGCTATTCAGAGGCATTCAAAAGAAACAAGCAAATTTCTGCAGAATGGTAAAATGATTTAAAGGTTTTATGGGCAGACCCATAAAACCAGGCTTAACCCGTAGTTGGTGTGGTAGTTTTAGTCTAGGCCTTCCTTGGTGACCAGTTTGTAACCAAGGAAGTGGCCATATACCCAGTATTCCCTATGATTTTTACATAAGCCAGGGTATAAAGAAGAAGGGAAGAGAGGCCTTCTCTCTCTTCCCTTCCGCTGGCTCTGGAGGCGCACGTTCCCCGCGGTCTGTTCTGCTGTGTGGGGACTGAGGCCTAATGAGGCCTTGTAGACCTTGGGAGGCGGAGGGTGCCGGCGGTCGTTCAGCGTGATTTCTGCTGTCCCAGATTTCTGCTGTTTTCTTTTTCTAAAAAAAAAAAAAAAAAAGAAAAAATAAGGAAAAAAAAAAAGGAAGAAGGAAAAAAAAAATAAAAAAAAAAAAGTGACTTTATCACGCTACTCCAAAACGTGCATAGCTTTGTACTGGAGTTCTTCAGAGATTTATGCACAGAGTAGCAACAAGAAATGAATACAGCGACAATGGTTACAGTTTTTAAACAGGTTATTTCTTCAAAGAAAAAACATCTAAGGACTTTAGTCCAATATGCACTTTTTAGCATTTCTACAGCATGCGATTCTAAGAGTAAACCCACCCAATATGGCAAACAATCAAAAAAGGTTTTTTTTTTTCTGTTTAACTTAGAAAGTTCAAGATCATTATTTTCAAAACATTGATTTGTATATCATTTCATACACAAAGAATTGACTCGATACCCAAGTGTAGGATAGGGTATCTTTTGCTAATTCTTTAGTTTGCTAGATCCTGAGTTTTTGATTGTGCATATCTGTTTTGTTTTTGTCCTTTTTTTTGTCCCTTTTCCCCCCTTCCCTCTCCCTTTCCCTTTTGGGATTGTGTATAGTATTTCAACTGTATATAACTGTACTATAAGTAAATACATATATATTTTAATATAGTTCGGCTAGTCTGGATTTTTCATAGTTTTTTTCTCTTTTGCTCTTTGCCAGAGGTTTTGTGCTGGGTCTTGGGGACTTGGCAGGGAGCCAAACCAAAACAGACAGTTGGTTACTATAGTTGATACTGCTGTTATCCAGGTAAGATGCTGTTCAATAAACCTCCTATCTGTGCAGTAACTTGCAGGGCCATATACTAAGAAAAGCAGTAAAAACTATTTGAAAATGTTATTCAGGCGCTGAATGTTTTAAAACTGCCTTTTTGGGCAGCATGGTAATACTGTACTGAAAAGTTGCATTATTCCTTTGCTTTAAAAGGAAAGTAGGAAGTCAGAAGTAATCCCAGGACTGCAAGTGACTTTTTCAACTGGCACCTGCACTAAATTCTTCTCAAGTCTCTTACCGGATGTGCAAAGGTAAGCAGCATCTCAGGAGAAAATATTTCTACAGGCAAAAAAAGGGAAAAAACAAAAAAGAGTTCATTTTGTCGAATACATTCTACCATTCTTTTAAGATGCATTTTCATGTCTTTTTTAGAAGCCTGTGGGTTCAGTATTGCTGTGGAATGTACTGCAAGTCTCTGCATGGTAGTTCCACACAGTGAGTGCCAGTGAAACTAAAACTAGATTCTGCAGCATCTGGTTTGAAAGGGGATAAGATATTCATTTTCCACCATTTAAAATTATTTCCTACCATATTTTCCAGCATGTTTACCATCATATTTCCCTTTTTGATCATAAAGGAACAACGTGCATCTCAGGGCCGGACCCTTAGCTGAGCTAGTCATTCAGCAGTAAATATTGGCAAGTGTTGACATTTGAAGTGCCACTGCTGGAGCACTTATTTGACCAAGAGAGGTGAAACTTAACACTTTGTACTTGGTGCTATAGTTCAGGAACCTTCCAATTATTTTAATCCCTGTGAGTCTGCACTTCTTTGGAAGCAGTTTGCTCTGATTTGATCTCATCTGCACACCTGCTATTACTGTCCTTGAACATAATCTGTAGCCCACTTCTGTTCTCCAGTAGCCCTGAGGCATTTCTTCTTTGCTCGGCTCAGCAAAAGGCTTCTCCCCGTCTTCACCCATTAGTTATTTCAGCAGTCCCTACCGCATTCCTCAAGTTATTCCCCTCCTCCTGAGGTTCTTCTCTCAAAGCAGAGGATATTGAAACAACATTGATGCTATGTGTGTGACCTTGTTTAAGATCTCTGCCCTCTGGCTTTTTGCCTCTGAGAAAGGAACCTGTCATACTCTTTGAAGGTTAATTAATATTTGCACAGTACTTTGTCCTTCACTAGCACACTGTGAGTGCCAAGTAGTATTAAATAGTGGGGATTCCAGCCCTGGTGAGGTACAAAGTAAACATCTGTTAGATCTTTTCCAGATACGAAACTCCTCTCTCTCCTAGAAGAAAACCCAAATGTCTCAGCTAGCTACCAGCACTGAGGTACCTGACATCTGCAAATGCAATATTGATGTTTACCTGTTTCTTCAAGCACTTCTGGAGTTGACACCAGAATTACTTATCTAATGACTGCTTGGCAGTGGCAAAGAGATTACAAGCCCCTCATTAGCTCCATTCCTTGTGATTGGTGTCAGCATCCAAAGCCAGGGGTGTTTGGAGGACTGGAGGACTACATCTTTATTAGGGATTGCTACAGCACTGCAGCCACTGTAAGGGAATTACACTCCCAAAAGAAACACGAATTCAGACTTGCCTCCTCCTTCTTACACATTTCCTACTTATTAGCTTTGGCTCTCTGCTCCAAGCAGGCTGGCCTCTCTCCATCCCATTATGAGCAGCCTTGTTCTCCCTCTGAATTTCATGGAAACCCTGGACACCTGCAATGGTGGAAAAGCCAAAAGACACTGTGCTGCCATAAGATGTTGTAATCGAGCCAGAACATTTTCTGCTTCTGCGCTAGCATTTACACAGCTAGCCTGTCTCACACCCACAGCCTAGCTGGAGAACTCACCCTTGGAGCCACACAATGCCTGGAAGGTGAGCAGGGTTAGAAGACCTCATGCTGTGGGAATCAGCTCATAGTCATGCATCTTTGTTCAGCCTGGTCGTACCTTGTAAGCAGCAGTAGGAAATGGCAGGCGTGTGTTAGTGTCTGGCTGAATAACACAGCCACAGACCATCAAAGGATTTTTCCCCAGGAAGGCAGAACTGATGGTGATAGTTGTGTTTGCTCAAATGCTTGGAGAAAGCTGGCATTAATTTTGGACAGGAGCCCAGAGAGAATCTTTTTAATGGGTTGTAACTTGCAATATGTTTGATCTGTGGATGAAAGCATATCCTTTACAGGGAGTAATTGTTAACAATTTTTTTCAAATAGAGGTGTTTTTTCAGTAGAGTCTGTCAAAAACCTGGGACCTTCCAACCTCTGAAGCTTTGAGCCTCATTATCAAGGGGAGATTTACTGAACTGCCTCGTCAAGAACTGAGGTCAGCCTACAATTCTCCCAGGAATTATATTCAATCATCTCTGCCACCTTTCAGTTTTAAACTTGGCTGTTGTCCTGGAGTAATTCTCCTTTCTTCTCCCTCTCACATTTTCTAAATCCTCAGTCCAAGCAAATTTAAGCAAATTTTATGATTCAAAGGAAAGCAACTGTCTAATCAACTTGGAGGTCACTGGGCAGCTCTATACAAAACTGTCTGTCTGACGCAGCTTTGTATGATCCTTTTTACTTGATGAACTCTATTAGGTGGTTTTGGGGCTTGCCAGGGCTGCTGCTTTGTACAAATTTGTGGCACTGATACTTGCAGCTGGAGTCCACCAGCTCAGAGGTTTAATGGGAGTTCAGGGTCATAGGTCAGTCTTGGCTGTGATCTTGTAGCAGGGATAGTCCCAAGGAGTCTGGTCTCACAGGCAGAGAGAGCCATCCTGTTCTTCCCCTGACCCATCTCTCTGCCTTTGAGTGCATGGGAAGCCTCTCAAACCATCAGAAGTGCAGCTGTGCTGGTACAGGCCTGTATGTTTGCTTTAGTGGATGAAATTACAGCGTTGCATTATCTTCTCTAATTTTTAAGCTTCTCAGGTAGAAATATCTGCTGGAGATGGTATTGTGCAAGCTGTTCCTCCTTTGCTGTTCTTTCCCGGTAAGATCAGCAAAAAATCCATTTTGTGTACATTTTTTGCTAATTGTTACACAGTGTCGATCATCCTTACTATACCTCTGTCTTGTGTTTTGTTCCTCCACCTTCATCTGTGCCCCCAAGAGATCTGTGTTTGACAGACAGCCAGAAGAGCAGCACACAACAAAGCAGCTATATGCAGCATAGAGACCACCAGAGAAAACAAGAGAATAGATTTACATTCACCTCTATTTTAAACAGAATTTCCTTAAAATAAATGAGTGTTCATACAGATGCACTGCCAAGATGTAAAACATCTGCAATGCATCCAGTCTTTCTCTGTTTTACTAAGTGGGAACATCCATTTCTGACTCTAGGTGATAATAATCTTAGCCCTTGACCAGGTTTATCCTGAGTCATTTGTTTTTATTCTTTGCATAGATGTAGTGAAAAGCACTTGAATAAAAGAACACAGGACAGTTCTCTTCAAAATAAAGTTTTGGGTCTGTCCTCTTGTCTACAGCAGCTTTTCCTAGGATTTACCCTTTTTCTCTGAACCAGACATCAGCACCACACATTTTTGAGCTTAGTAGTTTCAATGACCCACATTCGTGTGTAGTACAAGGATACTTATTAATCTAGAGACTTTGCTAATGACAAACAATTATTTTCTTATCCTGCACATAAACACACACACACACCCAAGAAAACATATTGAAAAGGATGACTATCCTGATAGATCCACAAATTGCATGGACAAGCAGCCAGTAGGAAAAACCACAAACAAATCCAGAGTAAGATCTTGGTCTATAATATAATTTCATTTGTAAATGTTGAAGTCATTGACTACTTTCTAACAAATCTGTTTGATAGGGCAGTGTCTGGCAAGAGTCTTTCTCTGAATAAGAACAGTCTGACCCTGTTAACTTGCTATGAAAATTGAGAACAAATGCTTTACTTGCTTGGTGGTGCTTTAGATAAAAGATTTTGGCCACTGAATAAAAAACATTCCTTGTGTGCACACTAGTTCATATTTGACTTTGGATGCAGAAACCTGAACCCGGTGGAGCTCCTCATACGCAAAACAGTTAACAGTCTTTCATGAATCCACATGTACACAAAGACTCAGACAGCTCCCATTTGGAAAAAAAAAAAAGAGAGAGAGATAGGAATCCTGTTTTTAAGGGTCCTTTATTCTCATTTGTTAAAAGTCAGTGAAACAGGAAGAGGACACATTCATCTGGAAATCATCTTGCTGGCAATCTCTACTATGAAGATGAAAACCAGCATGATTTACATTAAATTTTATTCCCTGATGAGCAACAAGACCTATTCTGTGGACTTTGCTGCAGGAGCCTGATGGACACCTAATGCAGCACTGACCTAAATTCATCTATTTTCCACCTCCACTTTATTTTCGGTGGAGCATGACCCATGTTTAACTGTGCTACCCATACAGTGCCTTATTTGGAACTTTTTCTTATATGTTACTGTGCATTGTAATCCATAGCTAGGCATGCGTAAGTGATTTCATTGTTATCACTGATGATGATACAAAGATCTTGTGCCAAAATCCCACAAAAGTAAGGTTATGGTCAAAATCAGAGGTTAAATCTGTGGCAGCTTTTTTGTATTTCAGAATGACTTTGTTCCTCAGCTGAAAGGATGAGCTCTTTCTATTTTGCTTTTTATTTTAAAAAAGCACCTATGAGAGAAACAAGATGTATCCTCCAATGTTTTGTACCCCTGCAGAACTGACCTTGCTTTTACTCTACAAATGAGCACAATCAAGTAGCTCTTCGGCAGCATATCAGAAAACTCCTGGCAGACAGTGAAGATACTTGTACTCTTTATGCCAGTAATGCCGTACCAGGGTCAGCCCCTGAGGTTGTTAGAAAAGTGATAGTTTCTCCTTTTTCTTTCCATGACTTTTGGCCTCTGCTTTGTTTTTCATTCCACTTTGCATTTTTGCCCATTACCACAAGAAACCCCACTGACTGAAAAATTGCGTCAACAGGGTGTAGGCTATTGTAACGTCTGTTAACTAGCCAGGTCGTGTATATAATAAATATGTTTATGCTCATAGGTGTTGTATATTGTAAAAAAAAAATTTCATGTCCAACTTTTCTATTTTATAGTGTAATGCAAGAGCTATTTTTACATAAAGGAATTGAAAGCCAAAATCTGGTTTCTATTGTTATTCGTAAAAAACAAAAACCTTTGCAATGTAACTGAAGTTGGTGAAACAGAGCTCAGGTGATTGCAATCATTCAAGCTCCACCTATAAATATATCTCCATCGATGTCCTTAAACTTCGTCTAAATATTTAGACCATATATTTACCCCATTGAAGTTAGTTGCACGCTCCAACAGGGCTGACATTTCCATTTGGGTCTCCCTCAGGTCCTAATTTCTTCTTCCCTCTCTAATGTCCTCCCACATCTTTCTCCATTGAGTGATCTCAAGGAAAGTCTACAACTTAATTTTTTCCCTCTTCTATGACCACTTTTTTCTTTATATATAGTTGTAGCAGATTATCAAGTGGTATTGAGTCATGGCTTAAAGCTCCTCACCTTGGAAGACTTTTTTCTGCTGAGAAGAAATCACTTTTCTCCATCACAGCATCCAAGGATATGGAATATGTCCTTTGAACCATTTCTGTGAGAGTGCCTTAGGCACCAATCGCAAAGAGACAGGTAAGTAGCAAAAATCACAGCATTGTTTCCAAACCCTTTGTATGAAATGACTCACGTTCAGCTAAAGCTGACTCGTTACCATCTGTCTCCCTGATCGTGCTTTTCTACTTTGTTGTGTGTGATATAAAGCTTGAATCAATAAAAATACTTAACTGCTGAGCTACTTTAAAACTGCTTTTTCTCTTTGTGTCTCTTGACACAATACTGGCACTCAGCAATGAGAAGAATACAACATCTCTCACTCTCTACAACTACCTGAAAGGAGGTTGTGGCCAGGTGGGTGTCCGTCTCTTCTCCCAGGCAACCAGCAGTAGGACAAGAGGGCATGGTCTTAAGTTCTGCCAGGGGAGGTTTAGGTTGGATATTAGGAAGAAATATTTTACAGAGTAATCAGACATTGGTATGGGCTGCCCAGGGAGATGGTGGATTCACTGTGCCTGGAGGTTCTTAAGATGAGACTGGATGTGGCACTTAGTGCCACACCACGACGGTGTTGGATTAAGGGTTGGACTTGATGAGCTCAGAGGTCTTTTCCAACCTGGTTGATTCTGTGTTTCTATGATATGATTCTATCTATACTGTTTGACACAAATTACACCTTTACTGTCACAGTAGCTTCTGCATTGCATATATTATGCATCTGCTTATTTAGCTCAGCCCTGAGTTTGTATCCAGATCTGGAGCTTGCTCACCCAGTCTTCTCTCTGGCTTGTGTTTCAGCCTACTCTTACAGACTATATAGACAAAACTGGCTTGAGCTGGCTCTGCCTCAGCTCTCAGCAAGGCTCACAAGCTCCTTCATACCTTAATGCCTCAAACCACCAAATTCTCATTGGCATCCCCGTGCCAACTTCCACTGGTATCAAGTCTGCAAAGCTGCTCTCCCATTTCTAGCACTGTATCAGATAGTTTGAAAATCTTATGCTTACAACCTCTAATTGAGTGAAGGACTACCCAGCAATCCACATAACTTTGCAAATGGAAAAAACAAAAATAATCCAGGTGTCAGCCAGCAGAGCTGAAATCCGGCTGAGAAACATATTAAGGAGTGTAGCTGAATAGCAAAAAAAAAATTGAAAAAAAAGCCGAAATAAAGCAGCTCAGGAACCTACATCCATCTTGATGAACTCTTGCAAAGCCAGTAACTAGCTGTGATTTGGGGTTTGGGGAGAGCTGTGTGTGAATGTGCTTCTGCTCACTCTCCTGGGTAGAAAAGACTGTTCGTGTTCCTGTGTATCAAGGACCAGACATTAGGACAACCTGACCCAAACAAACCTTTCTGCTCATCTCTCTCTGGGCTTTTCAAGCCCTCTGGCCCCTTCTGTTTGCTCACAGCCCATCAGACTCAGAGGTGCAAAATGAACTTAGGTGATTTCTGTATTGAATCTAAGCCAAGAGGAATTCCAGGTGGTCCCAGTCCAACCCGGCTGGTGGCTGAGTGTTTTAAAGTGCTACATTAAAGACATGGCCTCTCTCCTGGATCTTTTTATGGTATCATATAACATTAAATGGGTCTTTAGTAAATGAGCAGAAGCCATACTCTCAAATATCTGCTCTAGTTTCCAGAGAGGGATCTGAACAAGCAGGCATTCCCCAAACCTCTCATCACTCACTAAAGACTAGAAATAAGTACAGCAGGGACATACTAATAACATATCATCTCATGCAGCAGAGTCTGATCAGCATCTCTCCCTGCCTCCATCCCTTGCTTGATGGTACTCTCTCCCACTTGTATCTTCAGCAGATTCACTAACAGCCAGGACAAGGACCAAATAGCTAGGCTGGTTGATTAGGGACTCCACTACTGAAGATACCTCCCTATGAGCCTGGAGGATTCCCAAAAGGAGATGAGAGCACTGGTACTCTCCTGCAGGGATTTTCTTCAATAATATCAACCCCCAGAAGAGGCTTCTTCCACTCAGTCTTCCCATTTTAATGATTAGTAAATTGGGCAGTGTCATTTAGCGGAAATACTCCCTGTTATCCTCTGCATGCCCTGGAGCAGTACTCTGGGAAACCGTGCTGAGGACTGCAAGACTGCCTGGCCTCTGTGAGTGCCCAAGCTGGCAGTAGCACAGTGCCACGCAGCACACCAGCTCACCTGTGTGTAGCTTGATTCCAAGGTAGGATGTAAAGATGGTACAGTACATTCATATAAGGACACAGGAGAGCACAACAATGAAGCAAGGCTACAAAAAATATATATAAAAAAGGAAACATATTGTCAAAATAAAGACATTTTAAAAAGTGGCAGCATTCCTTAGTTGTTTCAGTACTTTAGCTGTGATGGGAGGCTCTCTAATTGGTTTTTATGGCTCACCCCAGGCAAACAGCTCTCGGAAAGGCTTTTAGAGCAACAATATTTTTTTCTTGTGTTAAGATGGATAGCAGATACAGATCAGGTGCTCTAGGAAAGTTGCCTCTTCCCTTGCATACAGTGGAGCAACCCCCCCAGCTTTTATCTTCTTGCAGGTGTGTCAATCCTCTCTTGTGATGATGCCCTACAGCATTATGTGATGCTAAGGCTGGGGATCAGCCCATTTTGTTCATAAATGATTTTAACATACATTTTGCTGTGTATTTGAATTAACCTAATTCTGTTTTTTTATGTTCTTTAAAATGAAATTCACTACAAAGCTATTAATTAAATGCATCTTTTCATAATATAATGAAAATTAGCCTACTTTTAACATCTAGTAGCTTAAACACAATAGTTATGAGTGATAAAACTGAGATATAGGGTGTTTGAATTAGTTGGCATGTCTGCTGTTAACTCTAAAGAAAACTTTACAGGCTGCTACCTCTAGATTGTTTATGGCTGAAGAAAATACATGGACACTCAAGAGGCTTATAAGTGGGGTTGCATGTAGTGGGCAGGAGCAGAGAGGTGATTCAGGGTGGTTAGCAGAACAGGTCCTTGTACTCTCCTACAGACATCACCTCATGACTAAGGATGGTGCATCATCCCAAGGTGCAGCAATTGTTTGTCTGTAATCTGCTGACAGCAACCATTTCATTGCAGAGGAGCAGGGAGAGCCACGGAGACTGTGGCTGGAGTTTTTCCTGCTGCAAACCAGCGCTAAGGCCCTGGGTACTAACCCCTCCGCCCTTCACCTGGTCTGAGAAAGCCCTTGTTTCTTCCTTTGATGTGATACAGCCGGAGCAGCCAGAGCAAAGGAGCTGTTTGACATGGCACAGCTGCACAAAGGTCTCATTTTCCCTAGCTACCCCGTTAGCAGCTTGATTAGAGGGTTTTGCTCTACCCAGCAGCTAAGCACGCAAGGTTTACAAATAGCTTTCCCTTACTGCTGAGTTTTAATCTCTGCTGCAGCAAAGTCCCCAGATAGGTCCCCAGGTAGCTACTGTGCATTATTCCCAGGGCTGTTCATTCCTGTCATCATTCACTTTGATGGCCCCAGCACACAGAAACAGAAATTACTAGAAAGTTTTGTATCAAATCCAGTGCCACCAGGAGCTTTCCACACATTGTAGAAAAACCCAGGTTGGTATAGGAAGTTCCTCATTGCTACAGGCAAATGGAAAGGCCTGAGTGATGGCAGTGCCCCTCCTTACCATGAACCAGTTTTGTGCTGCCCCCATACAGGTGAGCTAAAGGTTGACAGAGGCTGACTACGTGCTTATTTTGTTTTTCTGATTACTACAAGTGGCAGTGATGGTGTCAACTTATCCTGCCATAGGCAGAATGCTGCAGACCTACTTTCAAGTTTTACAAGGGTGATTCAGGCATCCAAAGAGCAGTGGGGAGCAGAGGCAATAATAGAAGTGAAGTCTGCCTTTATTTCTGCTTCAAAACTATTAGACTGAAGAGCAAAGCATAATCTGAATGACTGGTACTTACACGGGAATGTGATGAGATCTTGAAACCCATCATAGAAGGATTTTCCAGTAGTGATTTGTCAATAAGCAAGACCTTGAACATAGTGAAGGTGACTGACATCTACAGTGGAGGAAGAAGGGAAGAAAAGAGGTTCAGAGTATGACTGTGATAACCTGAAATGAGATCACCAAGGGATGGCAGAGGGGAGGATAGGGTTTTTCAGCAGACACTGGAACAACTACGTGCTCCCGAGCATGATATAAACCCGCCTGCAAGAAGTCAGGTGTCAAGGACATGGTGACACTTTCAACACTTGACTTTTTTACTCTTGAAGCCACAAAAAAAGTAAAATTTATTACACAGCAGCCGTGAATGTTTTAAAAGTACCTGTGAAATCAAGAAGAGAAAACATGAAACAACGCCTCTGTATGTTTGTTTCCACCAGTTTCCATATGGTGGGAGGACTATTCAAGGAGATCTTCCAGCTTTCTCCCATGATTATTCCATAGTGTAAAATATGAATATTGTGTAGAGGAGGTTAGACAAAAGAATTTTCTTCTGTTTCGTAGGTTTAAAAACTTTTTTTTCTGACAGTTGTTCTTTTATCTTCAAAGAAAAAGAAAATGTTTACTGAATTATGCCAGATGGCTAATTAAAAATTATTTTAGAGAAAATACAGATCCTTAATAGCATATCAAACTGTTAAGACAACAACTTCTACAATGAAAAAACTTTGAAAACTTTTTTTAACAAGGAAGCCATAAACAGGGTTTGTGTGCAAAATTAATAAACTTATGTAGAGATCACAAACTCCACAGGGACTCTCAGCTACCACTGGAAGGAAAAAAATTGGGCCTAGGATACAGCTACCCCCTCCCTTCCTTTGTTCCATTTCTGAGTTTTCATGCATTAAGGCTATTTTGAGTTCCATAAACAAACAGAAGAAACAAATCACAAACAATATCCCTAATAAAAATCTTCTCTCCACAGTGACAACAGGAGTTACGTAAGACACTTAAATAATGTAACTCTTAAATGTGAGAATTGAAAATGTCTGGCAGTTACCGTTAGAAGAAGAAATAAGCAACGTGAATTTCAATATTTTTCTGGAAGTGTCAGTAAATCAGAAAATAAGAACCACTCAGCTCACACTTATAAAGCTTAGAAATAGTCCCAGCACCAGTCCTCAATGTGAGGCAAGTGATGACCACAGCCACTCTTTAAGCATCAACCGTGAACTCCAGAAAAAAAATTTTACAGACTAATTTCTCCTGTTTGAATTTGGAGCCCAAGTTCAGAAAATATCTTCAAACTAGTGTTCAGAAATCACAATGCAGACTCTTTTCCATATTTATCCAGTACAAGACAGGTTTTCCCAGCATCCTGTGGACTTCTAGCAGAGTCCTGATCCTGCCTTTCACCCTATTTTCACCATTTACAGGTATTTTCCTGATGCAGTGAAAGCTCCTGTGCCGTACAAGCCAAAGGGAACTGTCTTAGCCACGCATCAGAGAAGGAAATCAGGTAGAAATTTCAGGTATGCAGGACAACCGATGCAATTCACATTTTCTGATCACCATTACAGGAAAAGAGTCGTGTGCAGTATTTCAAGCTGGATTAAATTAATTTTGCCTCTGAAGTTATGTGTGCTGTTGCTTTGGGGTTTCAGTTCTATTTTCTGGATTGGTTTAGTTATGTTCAAGTGAAAACAATAGTTGTCAGGTGAAAGGACATTGTCAGTGAAGGAAACAACATAGAATAAAGTTGGAAACTGCAATAGCAATAGAAAGAATAATAGCACTGCATCTTGGCTCAGGCATTGGATCAAGTGAGGTAAATTCACTGTATGGTTTGTGTTGCTCTTTTTAGTCGAATCCATATCCAAACAACAGCTGGTACGCAGCAAGTTTTTGGTATTGAATCACTTTTTCATCTCATGGTCATTAATAATTTTCCTAAAAAGGAAACAGGCCCCTTAGTGCCTCTGGTTGCTCCTTGCAGACGTTGCAGCCAGCACGGCACCAATGCCTTCCACCCACCTCTGCCTTACAGCACCGTCTGTGCTGGGAGCTGGGGGTCCTCACACCTGCTTATGCTGCTTTTGCTCTGCCAACACTTTAAAAAAATGGTGAAAGCAACATGATTTTAAATGCCAGTCCAAATCAGTTGGCATCTGCTTGGCTTTCTTGTGGGAAGGGGAACAAGCTCAGAGGTATTCCTCATGACAACCTTTACAGTGCCCTGAATGTCCTCTCTGGAGGATTGTGCATCTGGGGAGGTTTTCACTGGCTTCAAGATTTTCAGGGGGGCTGTGAAGTTCAGAGTCTAACTCCAAGTCCCTAAAGGTCAAATAATTAATCATGGCCAGTCTTCGCGAATGAAGATTTGGGAAAGGTCTTTACCCTTCGAGGCTGCGCAGTGGATTTTTTTTTTTTTTTTTTTAGGTGAGACACAGTGTGCGCTGAACTGAGCCCACCCTTTAATCCTAAGGTTCATCTGCTGGGGCCAAGTGAGCTTGGACAGTGGTAGCGAGGTCCTCAGGACGTAGGTTTCAAATAATTAATAAAACTTGGATAAAAGGATCACATGGAAAATGAAACACAGAGAATAACTGAAATATCATTATGCGATCCTGGAGGGAGGGTACTCTTCTCCAGCATCCACTGGCAGATCTGGCATTGCCACAAGAGACCAGTGGCAGGTGTGAGCAAACAGTCTGGCACTGGTAGCTGTTCATGTGAGTGCTGTGGAATAGAAAGAAGGTGTCTTTATTCTTGCTAACACAGAGTGAAGTGTTTCAGTAATAACACTGAAATAGAGAGTATTGCTGCTAGGGAGTGACTGGTGTGCCTAAATGTGTTCCCTTAGTAACATTTCATGTGCTTTAGGGTACCTGAGCCCTCCTTGCAGGGCTGTCAGATCTGACACTGGACTTCTGGGAAAGCAATTGCCCTTCTGGATCAGCCAGTGGAAGTCAGACAGAAAAACAAGGGCAGCTCAAATAATGCTAAACACGCATGTTCAGGAACCTCAGTCATTCCCAGAGGATTCAAAGACATGTCCTTCATTTGCTGTATTGTTTGAGCAATGTGTTCTGTAGCAAAAATAGACACAAAGGACACATAAAACTAAAGTTAAAAGCTATTTAGCAGTAAAGAACAGTTTTCACCTGAGCACTATGTGATTTCTGGACTAGGAAAAAGTCACCTACTTTTTTGTCATTGTTAATATTCCTTTTTATTAGTGTTAGTCTTTCCAGGTCTACAGGCTCTTTCTCTGGCTCTTGAGGCGCTTTCAGGATAGTTAATCCTTTCCTCTTGCAGAATAGGTAGCTATAATCTTACTTGGCATGTGGGTTGCCAGCAACATTAAATGCAGTGCCATTATGTTACTTGGTAAAAGAGACCAACTCCCACCTCGCTACAACCTCCTTTCAGGTGGTTGTAGAGAGCAATAACGTCTCCCCTGAGCCTCCTTTTCTCCAGGCTAAACAATCCCAGTTCCCTCACCTGCTCCTCAGGAGACTCGTGCTCCAGACCCTTCCCCAGCTTCGTTGCCCTTCTCTGGGCACACTTCAGCACCTCAAAGTCCTTCTTGCAATGAGGGGCCCAAAACTAAACACCGGATTTGTGGTGTGGCCTGACCAGTGTTGAGTATAAGGGAAATGATCACTGTCTGAGTCCTGCTGGCCACAGTATTTCTGATACAATTTCGTGTGAGAAGGACTCTGATGTGCCCCTTGTCACTCTGCCCCTCCTGCCCTTCCATCAAACTCCTCCTGATTCATTCCTCCTTATTCAAAGAGACTCAAAAACCCAAGCCCAGCTCTGTATTTTCATTTAATTTCTCTCTTCATTAAAGTCCTTTCTCCTCTGCCACACTCAGATGACTTTCTGGACACTTCTTATGGAATATGGTTTCTAAATATTCACTCTCTACCTGAAAATCTGTCTTGAATGCGATATTCTTGTTATGAAGAGGGAATGCTTCATCTACATTTGCCCTTTCAAAACTTGTTCAGTCTTAAGTGAGACATGTGGCCGTATCTGCACGATCCACAGCTTCAGATGCAAAACCCTGGTAAGCTTTGATCGTCCAAGCTTTAGTTGTACTCTTGGAGTTTTCATGTGATGGACTCACTGTCTTCACCATTCATTCAGTTCTCCTGTTTCTACAGTAAACATCCTCATGCCTCAGTTATCTTCTACCAAATACAGTATCTGTGAAACTGGGATTTTGCCGATTGGTAACTTTTTTGTTCTTAACTGTTGCTTTTGAAAGATAATGGTAGGTCCCAGCAGATTATCCTTTCCTTCTACTTTTTAAAATGTAAATAATTATTTGAATAGGGAAAAAATCTTCAGATATCCATGGATGGAAAGAAATGTCTGGTTCCCAAAACATGTGTTCAACAGATGGTTGAAAAAATGCAGTACTCTGTTTCTATTTGAAAAATAGGTTTTAAATCTAATTTTTTAAGAAATCAAACCAGAAGCTAATTTTCTATTGTTTTAAAGCTCATGCTTTTAAAAATAATTGCACCAAAGTAGATCCTAATTATTTTGCCAATCCTACAGTGTTTTTAACACTCACGGCATCTTGGAACTTTTTCTCAAAGTTAAGAAATTAAAGTGAGTGACCACTTGCAGGGCAGTTTAAATGGTGATCCAGTGTTAGCTGTAGAGGCTCTTTGCAGAGAACAGTTAGGTCTGCTGGCTTTTTCCTTAATGTTACAGTAGTAAAACAAATATGTTTCCTAATGGCACACCTACATCCTCCAAATAGTGGTTTGCATCTGTGTTAGCCTTCACAGTCAGCATTGACAAAAGCTGCTCTGAGTGAAACCCACCTGCAACTTGGACAGCAATGCCAATTGATGCATTGAAAGCCCCATCACTGCTATCCTCTGAGTACTGTTTACTGTCACAGAGGCTGCTCAAACAGTGGTGGTCAGAGAATCACAAAAATAGCGTGTGCTCCCTGGTGCTTTCAGCAGCCTTACGTAAAATCCTTCTATTCTCTACTGCCATTAAAGCTGATCTGCAGTATTTAGACATCCAGCTCTTCAGAGAGGATGTACTTATTATTTATTTACTCAAACACGGGGAGACCTCGTTCTCAGAGGGAACATATGCTGATCTAACACTACCATCCTGCTGATCAGATATATTCACAGAAAATTCTCCCCACTGCAGTGCTCACTGTGCTCTCTGATTTTGCTCATAAAACCTAAAGTTATTTCTAGTTTCAGAGCAAACGCCTCTCCTGCTCTTCTTGCTCAGCTTACCCAATGTACCTCAGTAAAGGTGATCTTCTAACTGGTTGAGATAATTAAATTTTTCCACACTGGGTAATCCAGGCAGGCTGTGCAGCAAGATCAAGTACCTATGTCTGCCATCAACATGGGCAATTTTCTTTAGAATTAGGCAGACCTTCTGAAAAGTGAAGAGCTGTATGTGCTTACAGCCAAAAGAGAACATGACACGGTATGACAGCTTCATGCTGAATCACAGACAAGAGGATGTATAGCACAGGTCCTGTCCACAGTAGCATGTGCCTTAGTAGAGCTGTAGGAAGGCAGTTGTGTGCAAACATAAAGAATCCTTGTAAATGTATGCAAGCATATAAAAGAGGCTGGACACAAAACATATCTCTAGTACACCCAACTTTTCTCCTGAAGCAGCCACTTATCATGAGCTCAAGTCTCTCCTCACATCATTGTAAGAAAATGTAGAAAGGTCCCTTGCCTCCCTTCTCCTCACCTCTGGTGTCCATTTTATTAAAGCAGATCGATTTTCAGGCGGAATATCACCAGAAAACCCTCCCTAATAGAAACACAGGAGACAAGCAGTTGTCACGGTGAGATGCTGGCTTCCTGCTGATAACTTTGTGGTGGCTCAGGCAATTCTCTCCTTATGTCTCCACTGAGATGGAATGATAAAACACCTCAGTGCCAAAGAGGTATGGACACGTGCAGTGATTACAACACTTGCTTCACTTCCCTGAAGTCGTGCTGTCAGTAGTACTTTTGGACCTGCTTTGTCCCACCCCTGTGCCTGTTTCAGTTGCCAGTAGTGGCAAGCCTGAAGTGTTGAAGTCAGAAGGAGCAGAGGAGAGGGGATGGAGGCTGCCCCTCATGAAAGCACCAGGGGGTCATATTCAAGTAAGAAGAACAGCCAGGCAGAAATCACACAAGGTTTCTGCTGGTGCCCTCTCCATTCTGACACTGGCCTTCAAAGGATTGTGAATATAAGGGAAAGAAAGCACCTTGTTCCACCTTTGTTTAATGCAGAACTGCAGATTGAAATCATTGTGTGTGGCTGATGAGAAAATGATGAAAGAAACTTCAAGTCCTTTCTATGGGAATCTTCTGCAATGCGGTGCAGAAGTTACCGACACCTTTTACCGAACCAGTCCCTTAGAGGAAAGGCTGAACACTCATGAATGGTAAAAGAGAAAAGGGACTGCTTTTAATTACAATATTCAAATATTCCTTTCAATATCAAATATTCCCTTTCAGATTCTGAAAAGATCAACTGCTTGTTACTGCAGCACACACAGCCATGAACATTTTCCTACATAGCATGACTGGGGGGCTATTTAAAACAT